AGTTATGTGGTACAGCAGTTGTGGTAGCAGTTGCAAAGACAACAGATAACTTTTTCTGTTCTTCCTTGCACTTTTCTCCCTTTGTTTTGTGGTGTCCGTCTTTCATAAAAACTTGAGGAGACAGATGTGTCAGGCAAAATATTAAGCAAAAATGGCACAGGATGAGATATTTTCTTGAGTACATTCAGATTTATTGAGGGTCATCCGGGGAGGGGTGGGGGGTAAAGATCAATTATTTTTTAAAGGATTTTTTTATTTAAACAGGATTTTAAAAAATTAAATTGGATATTTTAATAAACTGCTTTTTGAGGAAAAATATATTTAAAGATAGTTTTCTATTTGAGTTATGTTATAGACCAAAGGTTATTCATCGTGAAATAAGGATTAGTTTTTAATTATGTGACATGAGGCTGTATATTAATGCAATGTTTAATTTTTTTGGTAATGGATTTCATTAATCCATTCTCAATGTCATGCTCCTCCAGAGGTTTCTGTAAGATTATTGGGCAATTTTTCTATCTAGAAGATATTATCACAGATGCTTGGTTTTACAGTACTCGGAGCTATGAATTTGTGCCTGCAGAGATCACATGCCTCTTCTTCTCAGCAAAAATGTTATAAAATAATCATTCAGAGTTGAGGAAAAGACCTGAATCCTATTGTTCCTTTGCAAATATATGTACACAGAATCAACCACTTATCTCACACGTGCTATGCTTCAAAATTCAATGAATAGAAGAAGATGGTTGGTTCTGCACAGGAAACGAAGTGTGAGGAAGGTGGGACAGGTAGTAAAAATGAAAGTGAACCCTTATGGTCAGAATACTCCACAGGTCTCTGGATCTTTTTGTGCATAACCTGAGGTTTGTCATGTTCTTTCCCTGGAGGAGAAAACCTATAATTACAGCAGGTCATAAAAGAGACCCAGCTTACGAATATTTTAATGAAGTTCCTGTACCTACAGGTAAGGTAGGCATGCATGGAAATTATGTAGAAAATAATGATTTAAATCTTGATTTAAATTAAATGTGATTTAAATTAAATTCATCCTGTGGGTCATATCCTGAAAGTTTGCATTTTTTATAATGACATAGTTGAAGAAACGTTGAATTACACTGGAATGAACATGGATGCATCCAGCCCCTAAGTGTCTTAGGGGCTGGATGTGCTGTCCAGTTTTGCTAGGAAAAGCCAAGTGAATATAATACGGAGGGGTTCAGATTTTTGCCATTGAAGTGTTACAAAATCATCTCTTATTGGCGATAATTTGGGTAGCATGATGTCACTGTCCTCTCCCGCAACAAACCACCCTAGACAAAATCGTTTAATACCAGGTTCCAAACTGAAAGCCCTTGAATATTTTATCATAATTTATCTATGAGCAAGATGGTGTAAGGGGGAATAGAGCTTGCTTGTTCTTCCAAAATTTCCCTACATGTTAGGACATCACATTAGCTGGTGTGCCATCTTGTGTAGACATTTTACCAGAAAAACATGAGTGGTAGAATCTCACAGATGAGTCCTTGTACATCTTTACTGCCACAAATCTATAAGGATGACCTGCTTTTAGATTTTAGCACACATGGGTTCCTCATACAGGTATTGCTATAAAGGGGAGGACTGGCAGAATTTAGAACAAACTTCAGTGGAAAGGATATTCTAGTTAGGAGTGAGGCTGCAAACAGTCCTATTTAGCCTTTCCTTAAAAATCAAGGAAAATTAAGAGATCGAGGATTTAGAATAGCCAACATGATTATAAAATTCTAAAATAGAATCACCACATGAAACAGCTAAAACATCAGTTAACAGGCATAGGCACACAACACAATTCAGCCAAGGTCTTCAGATTGCCCTGTTAAATGCCATTAAAAGACTGGGAATAGAGGGAAGTCTTAGTACCAAAAGGATGTTAATATTGGCAGTGATGTCTGGCAGGTCTTGCTGGGAGAGCAGTCCATGTGTGCTGTAGGGGGTACCAATGAAAACTCCCTTTCCCTTCTTGCCACTCACTGAACCTACCTCAAAGAATACTTCATGTGTTGATCATATGGAAGGATTGGTTCATACCAGAAGAACAAGCCAATTATGTGGAGAATCAGAGTTTGTAGCATTCACTGTTGCTCTTGAAATCCATTTTCCTCTTGTAACATATAATTTGTTTTGATGGTATATTCCTATGATTTTTTAAAAAATGGACGGTCTTCAAGATGACTGCTCCCTCTTTTAAGATTAAAGGAATGCTTTGGATGATGAAGAAGCCCAGTTCATTCCATTCTAAAAACAAGATGGCATTTTTGAAAATATGGAAATTATTTTCTAGTGGAATTATTTCATTGCAGGATCAGTTTCCTTATTGAAGAGTCTACTGAATAGATTTGAGGTTGTGATGCAGTTGAAAAATAGCCTGCTAGATATACTTGAAGAAGTGGCTTTAATGGGCTACTTTACTGTATGATTTCTCATGTAATGCATAACCTTGGGGACTAGATGGTAGACTGTATGCTTGTCATAACTTTCCTTTTCTCTAATGGAATTTAAATTGTGTTTTTAAATCTAATACACTGGGTAGATGAGTGGGTGTGTTGAAGTGGGAATGGCAACACTAGTCCAAATGTGAATTGTGGCCAGTTTATACAGCATTTTTGGCAGAATTTCAGACACCTTGAAATACAGTAGGTTCTGCAAAGTAACTGGCATCTATTTTTGCTTAAATTATTATTTTTAGTCACTTAAATTATGAAGTATTTCTACGATCTGTTGATCTTGAATGGGAACACAATGAAATGTAGAAACTGATTTTATACAGAATGTTTATGAGAAAAGTATTGATTCTTGAGAGAAAAAGAAAAGCCTGTGCAGGGAGGGAAATGCTCTTACAGATATAAAATAGCACATCAAAAATAGACCTGGTCTTTCACTCATCTGGCCAGTCAGTGGGGTTTCCTTACCGGAAGTGGATGCTGAATCATTTCCTTGGTATGTCATGAATGCAAGTTATGTTGAATATTTTTTTCAGTTTGTTAATAATATAGTACTACAACCTTATTCATCACAATAGCTGTGTTGAATAATCACAAGTTTAGATAATTAGTAATTACCTTAAAAATACTAGCTTACTGTGCTGTGTTGTCACATAGTAAGAAAAAGAATTTAGTGAAAAACTTGCCTAATGAAGGAATCTTGTATGTAGTAAACTTGCTGTACAGTCCTATGAAGCAAAACCCACTGAGTTCATTGTAACTTACTAAGAGATAAAAGTATTTTTGGAATTACAACCTGAAGCTCAGCTTACATGCCAGGCACTGAATTATGTGCCTCTTTTTCCAGATATGATTTGATCTTCCTGTTGTTTTGAACCTTTGGTGCTATAACTTATGAAAGTCAGAGGAATTATCCAGTGTGTTGTTATAAGACATTTTATATTGAAATAAAATGCCTATTATACTTATTCAATGGATTTTTATATCACTATATTTTAAAAAACAATTACATAAAGCATTGTGGATTAGCAGCACGTGCCTACTGGGTTATATTGAAATAAAATGCCTATTATACTTATTCAATGGATTTTTATATCAATATATTTTAAAAAAACAATTACATAAAGCATTGTGGATTAGCAGCACATGCCTACTGGGTTACTTAAGTGATTTCTTAGTTTATTTCTCCTGCAGTCCCACTCCTGCCTACGAGTAGAATTGTGAGCTGTGTCAGTAGAAGGAGCCTTGATGTTGGGGACTGCTCCTGGTGAAACATTTTCCCTCCTTCTCTCCTTAGTTCTGTTGCTTCAGTTAAAAAAGAGCAACATGAATAAAATGAAGCTGACTGGCTGGACGAACATGTTGCTGTAGGATTCTGTGTCTCTTAGTTTGTGTTAGTATCTGTTTCCCAGGGAAATGGCAGATCTGTTGCCTTCACTTGAGGACTGGAGAGCAAATGGGCATGCTGGATCTGTGTAGGCTGTGCAACAAGCCCTGCTGATGATTCTGCAGATAACCATGTATCATGCACGGAATGTGTGATTACTCATCATCATCTCGCTGCAGCTTTGGGCTTGCTACTAACAGGAGTGAAAAAAATAGATATTCAGATAATTCAGCAGTTGATATATCGGGGTACTGGATCACATAAGCAGGACATTATTTGTAGGCTTCTCAGTTGTGAGTTCTCTCATAATGGGAAAACCCATCATTCACAAGAAAGTTTGTAAGAGTAGTACAAGAGAGCTTCCAAAGGGGCTTGTGAAGGAAGAATTCCCAGAGGATTGTTATGAATTGTACCAGCACTATAAAGTTGTTGCAACATGCTAATGAAGCCTTTTTTAGACTCTGTATAAATTCTGTATCACTGAAATCTTACTGAACTTGGGGCTTCCTTGTTTACTCCATTGTCGCAAGCATAGTGTGGAAGTACATGCGGTAATTTATTCTGCAGATGGGCCTCACACTCCTGTGCTCTCTAGACAGTGTCTCAGAAGCCGTACTGTTATTCCAAGTTTCATCCCCAACCTCAGAAACTTGCTCTGCTCAGAAACATTGCCAGCTGCTTCTCTGAGGTCCTTAATGAGACCTTGGGGGAAGTGTTGGGTGGTATTTTGGGGAGCTGGAAGGGAAGAGACCAGCATCTCCACAATGCAAGATATCAGGGCTGGGTAATTGTTTTGCAGGGAGAGAGCAATGCAGAAGTGACTTTTGCCACAGTGAGCCTCCCAGCTTCCATAGGATGCCCACAATCCTCTGAGCTCGTAGAGTTACAGGCATCTAGAAGGGATTGTGCCTTTGAGGGACTAGATTAAATATTAAAGTGGCTGAAAGTGAAGCAATTGTCCTGAAAAGTGTAAGGAAAAGAATTCCTGTCACTGTCCATTTTAAGTGTATAGAGCATCATTTTGTCAGTGTGCGCAAATTCCATCAACCTGTGGCAAGGGGGAGGTTGCAATTTCTAAATTGTGTGCGTGTACATGCCTGTAATTTTTCTGTTTTGTTTCTGTTCTGTTACAGGTGCATTTTGCTCCCCCTTCTGGGAACCAGCCCCCCCCAGCAAAGCCTTTTCCTCCTCGTAGATTCAGTAGATGAGGGTTGTAACATTTCAGAAGGTGACCAGACATCAACAGCCTTATCTGGGACTATAGCCGAACTTCTCGCTAGTCATTATGAGTTTTTTCCTCCCTGGCTTCTGCTCCTGTGCTCTGCCCGGAAGCAGAGCAAAGCTGTTACAAAAATGTTTACTGGTGAGTACATACCACAGTGAAATTTTAGCTGATCACTCACGCTCAGATGTTCATGTGCCAAATCATAAAGTACCTTTTTTGAGTGTTAAGCAACATTTGAATATAGATTTACTTCTTTTCAAGATTTTTATTTAAATTGTTGCCTTCACCCTATTCGTGACAGGTAGGCTGTTTTCACACATAATGGCAAGCAAGGTCAGGAATGGCTTGTTATGTGTGAATAGTTGTTTACCTTGAATCCTCATGGAGAATCAGTGGTCTGTTTGAAGGTTTCCATGTTTCAGCACTGCTTGTCATTATGTGTGAATTCAGTTACAGCATTTTTCTGTAGTTTACCTTTTTCTGCATCGCGTTTGGTATTAAGAGTGGCTGAAGCAGCAGTAGATGCTCCAGCCTCCATTTTCCACTGTCCAGTTCTGAGGCAGCTACAGCTGCCTTGAGCTGCCTTTTCCCTCTGTCTTCCCAATGGCCAGCTGCAGTCTGGAATATCAGCAGAAGCAGGGTATCCTGCAGCAGCCTCTCCAGTAACAGCGACCTTGGAGACGACGCTCGGCACTGGTCACCACAGTGCTCTGGACGGGCCCTCCGAAATAGTTGTATGCTTGCTCTGCTCTTGAGAAGGCAGCTTTGCACAGGAGAACATGGTGGTCGTGCATGGTCGTGGCCAGACTCCCATTCTCTCCAAGCCTTCCCACTGCCCCTTTCTTGTCCATGGCATTCCAAAGGACTCGGCAAGTCTGCCTGTCCCCCACCACAACTGAGCAACACACACATTCAGCCAGCAAACTTTCCTGGGCAGATGCCCACACAAAGCTGTTCATTTGGGAGGTCTCTCTCCATCCCTGGTATGTGTGTCCATGCAGAGATGCCCTCCATGCACCTGGGTGCAGGGAGAAGTGGACCCTGGCAGCATGTGTGAGTCCTGGGCACAGGATTGGTGCATAATGAGATGGATCCCCAGTCATGGGGTTAATGGGATACATACTGCTATTTGGAGAGAAGACGGTGGCGTGTGGGAATTGCTCATGAGTAGTTCACACAAATGTGTGCTTATAGGACACATGGTAAGAAGGATAATTTTGTGGTATTGCTTAGTGTTACGTGTGAACAGTCCCTTAGTATATACAGATACAATGGCTTACACATTTTGTGTTACAACCTGGAATTGAAATGGATATATTTGGTATTGTTACCACTATTTGGTATTGTACACAAGCTATTCAACAATGTGCAAAATATTTTTGTGGCACAAACAAAAACAAGTTGTGACAGTTGCATTATTTTAGAAAAAGAGTCGTATGATATTGAATCCTTAGAGGGTGATGATTATACTGTCCATTCCCAATGATTTGGAAAGGGTGTGTGTAACATGTTTACAATAAAGACTTGCATCATCTACACCTGTCTTCTCCAACCTCCAGATGTGTTGGACTACAACCACCATCATGTTTAGGAGCTTGGGAGGAAGGTTGCATTTTCAAAAAACCCAAAAAACTAGATTTGTTTTCTGGATTGGAAACTATAATTGCAAGCTCATTTCATGGGTGTAGCTGCATTTGATCCTGGGAGTATGCTGTTGGCAAAGGCGATCAGGAATCTTCTACAGCTTGTTGATCCGGTCTTTGCTGAATTGTGAGCTCATTTTATCACTCTGCAGTGCTTTGAATAAAACTGCAGTTATAATAATGCTACATTCGTACAAAGTCCTACATCTTTGTTCTCTATAAAAACTCGCTGGCTTCTTCAAGAGCATTGGAATGAAATGAATAATACATTAAATACATGATCGACTTCAACACTGGATTCTGGGATGGTGGGCATTCATTGCAGAAGAAGCAAAAAGAGTGGAAACACACAGACCTTGCAACACAATATCCATTCTAAAACAGGGGTGGTCCTTTAGGAATTTCAAAAGAATTGCACATTTAATTGCAACCACACTTAGAATTTACAGTCTAGTAAGGCCCTTCTCATCTCATGTTCAGCTTCTGCCTGCAGGTGCCATCTTTTTGTTGTGGCACCAGTGGCCTAACTCTGGCATAGTTGGATGTAGAAAGAGAGTTCTAGCCTGCTGACTACCTTTGATTCAGCTGGTTTGATGTCCTGGCAAGGCCTTGGCCAGCTAGATCAAGGTATGTTTAAAAACGGACTCAAGAGCCTTTGGAACTTGAATTCTGAGTCTGTGAACATCTGTTCAACTTAACTGTGTCATCACTTCCTATATCACAAGAACTTCTGAATGGCATCTCGTTTGTGTGGACTGCTTTCAGATCCCTTTAGTGAAAAGTGACAGATTTCATTTGCTCATTATGTGATTGTACGTACCATAGCTCAAGGTCTATCTGACGATAGTAGCTTCTTGGAATGAAGGGTCTTAGAATGTGTAAATTGTTTGAAGGCTCACAAGTATCACATTTTATTTCACTTTCATATTTAATTACTGCTATCCCTCTAACCCTTCTGCGTACTCCCACATAGAAATGAAAGAATTATGCCTCAGGAATGCATACTTAAATTTCTTAAATTGTGTATATTAAATGAATGAACTCCTGACAGACATAGCGCTCCAAGTTCAGAATCTTCTCCTTATCTTATCCCCTGTCATCAAGAGCCAGGTAGGACAAAAGGAAGACATAGGGACTTTCGCTTTTGTTCCTCTGTTTAAAATTTATAGAACAGCTGGATGGCCCTGGCCGACTTTCCTTTTGGTGGAGGAAAAGGGATTAGTGCGGCCAACGATCCAGTGTCTTCCAGGTTGCTTTCTTCCCTGTTCTCCCAGCTCTCCTATACCGATCCCCTTTTCCCCTTTCTGACTATTTTGAAGTCACCATTGCAGACTTCTAAGAAAGCATTCCTTGGTAGCAGAGAGGGGGTGAGTGAGGCTCTCTTCTATGCACAGTCTGCAGTCACTGGGAAAAAGAGTTGCAGCATTCTGTGGTGCCCTGGCTCCTGTCTAGGTGCCATAGACATGCTTGCTTAATAAAGGATTTAACTTGCATCTTGTATTAATGTTTCATGTGCTTCCCGAATATTGTGCATAACAATCACTTAAAAGTAAATATGGACATTTAGCCTCTCATCCAGTGTTTGCTTTGTGCATCTCTCATATTCACCAGCATCTTGCAGCTTGTAACCAAAATGACCATTTTTCCTCAGGATAAACTGTAGTAATAAATACATGGAGTGGCACACTAGGCAGTGCTCTTCTCTCTCCTTTCCATTGTTGTTGTTTTTTTGTTTTACTTCTGCAGATACTTGTATATTGCGTAACCAGCCTGTCTTACCTCAGTTCATCTTTATCCCAGAAACAAAAAGCTGACAGTCCAAACGTTTTGCTCACGGTAGCCAAAGGCATGCACATGTGTCTTTGTTTAAAGACAACTGAGGACCCAGAACTTTGCAGAAGCAAGTTAGTATCTATTTACAGGGCAGAGCAGTTTATTTTCATAAGATGAAGAGGAAAAGTCCTCATTTGTTTATAAAGAACTCAGCTAATAACTTAAGGCCTGAATAGACTACACTGTTCAGGTAACGGTTCAAGTACCATGCATGTTACCTTGGGCTCTTTAGATAATATTTTGTCTGCTTGTTGAAAAAAAAACCCGCTTTATGTAATAGTTAAAAAAAAAATTCAGTATAAAGAAATGTAGTATCTATACAACTTTTGTAATATTTTAATGTAACCTGTATCAATAAATAAAATGTATCAGGTACAATACTTGAAATGATTACTATTTAATGAATTTTGTACTTGATTGCTTGAATTTATAACAGTTACAAAACTGCAAGAAATTTTGGACATCCACCTGTGCCTCAAGGTCAAATAATTTCAGTGACTGATTTTAAACTACCCCAGGCTATTAATTTATCATGTATACTTGTTTGTCAAGTATCATGTTTTTCAAAGGAAATTATTGTTAGATGTTCATCCAAAATATGTCTAACAGGCAGATTCATTATTGAAGTACTTTTGATGTTAACTTTCATTTTAATTGGAAAAATAATGGTAACATTAAATGTAGACTACCCTAGGAAATCACATCTGGACTAGGTGTAATGTGCAATTTTTTCTATTTGCAGTTCTGCAGCTCGTAATCTGTAACATTTAAATCAACATCTTAGAGGAATCTATTCTGGGCAATTGAGTAAGTTAGTTTGGAGAAGTTTACTTATTAGTAGAGCTATTCAGTGTTCCCAGATAGTACAGTATTGGGAAGCAAGGCAAACATATCAGCATTTGGAACTTTTCCAACCTGTGTTGGAAACTATTGCATCATTGGTAGGACTGGAGCAAAGGAAGAATCAACATCAGTGCAGGTATTTCAAAAGTCTGTTTGCCATGGCCTAATCATGTGGAACAATGTGTGATTTAACCAGCTGGGTAGCTGATTGACAGGACCCTTACATAACACAGTCAGCTAACTCCTATGCAAATAAAACAAGAATTTAGGGTAGTTTAGCAGAGTACTCATCGTGGTTCCCACTTTTTTTGGAGAGGCAGTACAGTTGGAATGTTGCTATTGCCAGCCAGAGGTGGCTTATTGTGCATGAAAGTTTTGATGTCTCTTTTACTCTTTTGCAACATTTATAGCAAAGCCTGATGTTACAAATTTTTGCCTGGAACTGCAGGAAGGTCCACGTCTGGTGTGACCCCCTGCCTTCCTACCATGATGTTGACCCAGTTCATATCATCTTTCCCAGCTGGTTTAAACCAGCCACTCTGTTTTGCAGCATGTTCTTGGTGCTCTGAGGGGCCTATTTTTTAGTCCAGCCCCCATTTGTAGCTAATGTGAGATTCATTCAGGAAGGGTGTTGTGTGGCTAACAAACCCCATAATCCTAAAGAGCTCAGGGATTCCAGGTAGGTTGTTAAACATGCTAACAAAACATCCTTTCCATTTTAGACCATGTGACAATCTAGCAGCATAGATGGGGTCTCAGTGTCAAACCATGGATCAAAAATGATCAAGTGAATTGTGCCAGTGACTTTCTCTGTGCCTG